AGTCCCGTAATATCCAAAGTCAACGCGATTTTAGTCCTTCCGGCGTCCAATAGTTAAAATTGTGGTCGGTTTTGTCACGTGGCCCGCACATGATGCCCTCGTGGCCGATTTCCTCTGACTTGGCATGCCAAAACGTCGATTTCCTCTGACGCTGCCCATTTCCTCTGACGTGTCAAATAAAATAATTAAAAAATTGCCAAAAAAACCACAAAAAACCACGTAATAGCATATAATTGGAGGAAAAATTAACATTGAAGATGAATCGTTAAATGAGATCAAAACCCTAATCTTCACAATTTTTATTGGGTTTTTCGAACACTAAAATTCCCTACGCAATAAAAGAGAGAAGGTCGATTCAAGAGAGAGAAGGTCGATTTCAAAGACATGAGAGCGATTCTAGAGAGAGGATTCCACTGTGCGATGCGATGAAATGAAGGTCGATTGAGAAGGTAGCTTGAAAGAACGTGAAGATGGTGAAGTCAATACGGGTTAGGTCAAAGGATTATTGGGACGCACACATCCTTGTCTACGGTGAGTTTATTCCAATTTCGCCATTTTCATTTCTACCCTTGTTACTTTGTTTATGTTTTTTTTTTTGGATAATGATGAACTCTCTGTGTTTGTTTGTTTGTGTTGTTTCTTTGTTTGTTTATTTTTTGGGTTTGTGCTCCATAGATCGGGATAGTGAGTTGTTTACAATAACTATGTGGTATGGTGGAACATTTCAAAGGAAAGGTTTTGTGTGTTATAATGGAGGGTCTAAAATGACATTTGATTTTGTCCATATGAGGTCATTGAATAACTCCACATTAAAGAAAATGTCTGACAAATTTGGTGTTGTTGGTAGTAGAAAGTACTTCTTATTGATTGGTTTGAGTTTCAAGTCATTGCTTGATGATGAAGACATTAAAACAAGAGCTTTATGTCATAAATATGTGATAAATGAAGGGCTTTATGACATTATAATGGAGTGGGGTGGTTCACTTGGTGGGCGGTGTGGTCGGGTTTTGGGGCGCGGTTATCGAAGGCCCGAGGGTGGGCCGGTTCGACGCGTTCGGTAAGCCCGTCGCCATGAGGGGTCACAACGTGACCCTTGTGGTTCTATGCACGTTTTTGTTATGGTTCGGTTGGTTCGGTTTCAACCCGGGTTCGTTCAACAAGATTCTCGTGCCCTACCTAGGCAGAGCAGCCGGGCAGTGTACGACTGTAGGCCGGACGTCTGTTACCACAACGCTGGCAGGGTCCATGGCAGGGGTCACAACCATGTTCGACCGTCGGCTGCTCGTGGCCACTAGGAAGGGCTCGACGTGTGCAACAACTTGCTGGGTGGGTTTGTTGCAGTTACTTCGGGCTGCTCGGTCGTCGAGCCTTGAGCCGCGATCGTGTGCGGGCTTATCGCGGCCTAGGTTCTCATCGGGCTCAATGTCTTGGCCCTGAAGTTGAAGTTGGACGACCGCTAGAGGTGGCCTAGCTGCACGGGGGTACGGGGCCTGGGGCTTGATATTTACCGGGTTGTTTGCGACGGAGGAGTTTGTGGTGCAAGTTTATGACTTGGGTCGTGATGGGCCGGCCCGGCCATACGGGCTCTTGTTGGGTGGTGGTTGGGGACTGATTGGGGCTCAAGTGGTTGAGCTTTTGGTTGTGGTGGGATCGATTAGCATCACCATGGGGCCATTGTTTTATTTGCTTCATTGGCTTGAGATTTTGAGGATATCAAGAGATGATGAAGTGGCTGGGCTAGATGTGTCCAGCCATGGAGGATACGCCTTCAACAATGCTCATCATGAAGAGGAGACGGGTCCACGGGTTTATGGAGCAAAATAATTTGTAGTTTTAAAATTATTTTGTTCTCGTGATTTTTAGAATGCAAAACTTGTTCTAAGTTTATCTAATGTGTATAATTTTCAAATGTGTATAATTTTCAAATATTTGAGTTTGATATATTAAATCAGCTCGAGTGCAGTGACAATGTCATGAGCTATTTTTAAAATAAGAATATTTTTCTGTCCTGTATTACAGTAAACGAGGAGTATTTATAGTGCAAAACTCACCGGCACTATCTACAAAGTTAGTAAAGTAGCGTTAACTGCTTTGACAGTGACATGTTGCTTTACGGGGAAGAGGATTTACTCCTAATTATATTATTCCATTTCGGTATTACGATGTATATGCATTCTGTCAACCATTAAATGCATTGGCAAATGTTGGTATGTGAAGGATATAGGTTGACCTCCAAGCTTGATTCTTTTAAGAACTGTATATAGGGTTGAGCAACGGTGCGGCTCGGCGAAAAACCGCAGTGAACCGCAAAAAACCAAAACCGAACTTGATAAAAAAAAAACCAAAGCGCACTGCAATTTTAAAATAACCGAAGCAAAACCAAACTAAAATTTTTATATAGTAAATAACCAAACCGAACCGCATCGAAATGCACGGTTCAGTTCAGTTTTCAGTTTTATCTCAATTTTTATGTACATTTTATGCAATTTGGTGCGGTTTGGTGCACCGCACCGAACCGAATAAAATCAAAAACCAAACTTAAGAAAAACTATAACCGCACTGCATCGCAATGTAGCAAAAAAATGAACCAAACCAAACCGATTTTCTTTACATTAAAAAAACCGAACCGAACCTCACCGATTTGCACAGTTCGACTCGATTTTGCTCACCCCTAACTGTATAGGTTGTTCCCTTTGATGTCGAGCTAAATGGCTTGTTCGATATTCTCTCCTTGATGTCAGGTAGATGTAGATTTTGCCATGTGTCTCGTAGAGATTACAGTCGTCAGTTCGGACGTCAACAATAGCTTCACTACAAGCCACCATGACTTGCCCGTATATTGCACGAGTGTTTGTTAAAAGAGTTATATTTAAATTTAAAAAGTAATAATACAATACCCGTATATTATATGGGTGATTGTCAAAAAATGTACACATAAATTTAAAACGCAATAAAAAAAGTATGTTTTATATTTTAAATTTTATTTTTGAAAAAAAAAACATTTTATTATTATTTATATTTAAAATGATACAATCACATATACTAGTTAATCATCTTATATTACAATTTTGTTTTAACTACTACCATATAACTACTTTGTAGTTCTTGACACCCGAGCGAATGTGGGCCCCAAAAAGAATACTACCAGCTGGGAAAGAGGGAAGATTGGGTTGGTGCACCGACCAGAGAACTCAAGTGTTCACAAC